ACGGACATCTACGTGAATGTGTTTTCAAGACAAGAGAGGAAAGGCTGTTCACTTGATCCATGGCAGCCGTGATTTGAGACAGTTCTAAGCTCTGAGACCGAGGGAGCGAACTCCTAGTTGTCAAAAACGTCGGCTTTCCTCCATGGAGTTTTGTGTCGTAATACGAAGAGGTGGCCTCTAGCCCAGGTTATGACATTGCTGAGTGATTCTGCAACTTTCGTTCATTCACTTTATGGCACATCCACTCTGCGTCAGACACTGCTCAGCTCTGGAGACACCTGTGAGGAACACACCATCTTTGAACACTATGCCCGTTTTTGCATTTGCGTTGTAAGGAATGCACTGGGAGGAGTTTTCAAGGCCCTCTGCCTCTAGCTCTCGAGTCTTTACTTTTCTAAATTGTACCCAGAAGAACAATAATGGGAAGAATAGTATCTGATAGTCCATGGCGAGGCATTTTGTGTACTATACACATGGTGTCATTCTGTTTTCTCAAGATTTTCTTAAATGCATATCAACTACACCCATTTTACAGGTGGGAAGAGTAAGGTTCAGAGAGGCTGTGTACCCTATTGCTATCTCTGGGGGGGGGGGGAGATCTAGACCAGCCCAGCTTTGCTAACTCTAAACCCAGAAACAGTCTCGCCTCCTTTGTTCCTACGAGTTTACATGTTCATTCTTCTCCCCTGGATATTTTTCTGGGAGAATCATGCAAATTCCCTCAGGAATCCATGTCAATATTCAATATAAAAATGGCTCCATCTTGCTTTATGGCTTTCCCTCCCTTCTTATCTCCAAAGCTGATTCCTGGGAGGGTGATCTTGCCACTAGAGCCAGGGCCAGCACTTCCACAGCTTCTTGCCACATCAAAGGCCAAAAGAAAATGCCCTTCCTGGCCACATCTAGACTGCTTTACCTTTCTTTGAGTAAAGTAGACTACCTTCCATAATGTGTGTGGGTCTCACTCAGTAAAGTGGACCTCAAGATAAAAGATGGAGGTTCTGCCAGCAGAGGGAATTCTGCCCGAGACTACAAGATGGAGCCCATTCTGGATTTTGGGTTCAATATTACAATATCAACTCTTTCCTGAATTTCACTTTCCTGGCCTTGATCTACAGATTTCAGACTTGCCAGGCTTTATGATAACACGATCTGATTCCCCAAAACCAATCTCTCCCTTTCTCTTTAGGGATAGATATCTTGTTAGTTTTGCTTAGTTCTGTTTCTCTGAATAACACTGACTAACACATCTTAATTTTGCTGCTCATTTCTCTAATTCTAATGTACATGTAGATAACTTGGAGATTTGGGAGTTTGTTCAGGTACAGGCTCTAAATGGATCTGTACTTCTGATAAGCTTCCTGGTAACCATGATTTTCCTTCTCCATGGACTATATTTTCAATAGAAAAGCTTTATGTAACCAACTTTTCTGAACTGTACCATGATCTCAGTTATTTCCCTAAAATATTATTTGTATCAACTTTATTACTTTTCATGTATTACCATTTCAATTAATCTATTTTAATTGTTGTTATTTAGTTTGGTGTTAGTTTTTTAAAGTATTTTATTGATTTATTTTTATATGTATGAGTGAATTGCCTACATGTATGTAAGTGCACCCATGTAGTGCAATGCCCAAGGAGGTCAGAAGAAGGCATCAGATCCCCTGGAATTGCTTACGGATGGTTATCAGTTGCTGTGTGGGTGCTGGGAATTGAACCTGGGTCCTCTGCAAGAGCAGTCAGTGTTCTTAACAGCTAAGCCATCTCCAGCCCCTGGTGTCAGTTTTTTACTATTCTATAAATCTGTGATAAATACCCCAACACACTACAAATGATGCTTTGGTCAGCACTGCATAGAAGACAGTGATCCCACAAGACTGTATTGCCACTAATATAGTAGCTATCATAATTTGTATAGAAAACACTCTATGATGTTCATACAATGGCAGAATCACCTAACAATATATTCCTCACAATGTACCAGTCATGCATAACTGTACCCGTCACATGTAACTGTATCCTTGTAAGTTTCAGTATTCAACTCTATTTCCTCAGGATAATTTTGTCCAAGAAGAATTTTTGACTTAACTTACATGTATTGTTCATCCTTAGAAAGTATTTCCCAGCTGAGGATGTAGCTCAGTTGGTAGAGTGCTTGCCTAGTGTGCACAAAGCTGTAGGTTCAATCCCCAGCACTGTATAAACATGTACATGCCTGTAACCCAGACTTTGGGAAGGGGAGGAGGAGGATCAGAAGTTCAATGTCATCCTCAGCTACAAAGTGAGTACAAAGCCATCCTGGGCTACATGAAACACTGTCTCAGAAAAAAATAATTTCCCAAATGTTATTTAGAAAAATTACCCAAAGTATTCACACCTGGAGTCCTGGATTCTGCAGCAACTCAATCCTGCATGCTCAGGACCTGGTTTCAAGATTTTCCTAGGCTTTTGACTGGGTGCTGGCATCATCAGAATCTGTTGGCTGGGTATCTACTAAATGGCCAGCATTTTCTGAATTCATTCATATCATCTCATGTTTGCTCATGTAATATTATTTGATTACCTATTTACTCAGTGCCATAGGTGGCCTGCTGGAAGTTGGAGTGAAGGGGAATTAGTTTATTAGCTACTTGTAACTTCATTTAGTTATATCACATGGTGTTCTAAGTATAACAGGAGTCTGGTTTAATCTAAGAGTCAGGGGCACTACCTGAGGAAGAGACACTTGAGGTGAGTTCTGGCTGTTTTGAAGATGCAGCTTCACTTCTGCAATTGTCGACCAGTCTTTTTCAAGTGAGTGAGGCTCTGGTTATAGGACTTCAGGAGTCACCTGTGTTGGGAGAGGCTATATATGAGGTCTCCAAAGGTCTTGAAAGAGGTCCATCGCAGCCATGACTGCTCATTCTCCCTGCCCTGCTGTTGTGTAATGACATTTCTGCTCCCAAGTGGTCTCAGTTTCCCATTAATGAAGCTGCTCCCACATCTTAAAGAACAAATTAGTCTAGATAATGTATCATAGTCATTTTTTAAAAACATTCCCCAACGCTGTTGCTTCCATCAATGTAGATTAATGACAGTTGAAAAGAAAGAAAACTGTACACAAAGCTACAGGATTCAGAAGTGTGGTAGCAGCATGGCAATAGACATATGTAGATCTATAAAAGTGAGGGTCTAGATAGCCATATATTTCTGGCCAATTGGTCTTTAAAATATATTTATTTTATTTTAAATCTCTCTCTCTCTCTCTCTCTCTCTCTCTCTCTTTCTCTCTCTCTTTCTCCATATGCCACATTTGTGCGGGTACCCAGAGAGATGAAAAGAGGGTATTGCCTGACATGGGTGCAGGGAACTGAATTCAGGTCCTTTAGAAGAGTAGCAAGCACTCTTAATGACTGAGCCATCTCTCCAGCCCCTGGCCAATTAGTTTTTGATAAAGGTACCAGAACCATGTGATGGAGGAAAGATTACTCTCCTTTGTCACTGGTATTTGTAACTGTATACTTACCTATCAAGAATGTGAAGTTGAACTCCTACCTCACACCGTGCCAAACAGTAACTCAAAATGGGTCAGCGACTAAATATAGGACCTAAAACAATAAAATTTTGAAGAATACTCAGAGAAAATCTTCTTGACCTTGGATTGGGCAATGTAGTCTTAGATATGACACCAAAGCCTGAATAATAAAAGAAAAAAATTAATTGCACTCATCAAGACAACCTAAAAATGTGAAAATAACTCCAAATCATTTATGTAATAAAGGGATAGTATCCACAATGTATTAAAATTATTATACTTCAACAATAAAAGACAGCTCAATTTAAAAATAGAAAAGACTTAAATAGGTGCTTTCTCAAAGAAGACAGAGTGACTGATTTACACATAAAAAGATGCTCAGTACTGTAATCACTGTGGACACTATCAAACCACAATGGTGCATTGCTTTAGGGATACTCAGAGAATTTTGAAAAGTAGAAAATGAATGTTGGAAAAGATAGGGAGAAATTAGAAACTCAAATTAGAATTTAAAAAATTAGACTGTTAGTGAGAATGTAAAGTGGTGTGCTACGTAGAATTACAGTATCATCCGCAGTTTTATTGTATATACTCCAAAGAATTGAAAACAGGTACTCATGAAAATAGATTTGCACATGTCTTCACCGTAATGCCATTCGAATTTTGGGAAAGTAGAAACAATATATCAACAGACAAATGGATAAACAGAATGTAGTATATCCACACAACAGGGTGCTACGTAAAGCAATAAAGCTACAGAGCACTGACACATGCTATAGTGTACATAAACAAAACGCTAAGTGAAAACAGCCAGAAATTAAGGCCGCACATTGTGTAATTCTATTTATGTGAAATGTTCTGCATAGGTTGGTCCACAGAGGCAGAAAACAGTAGCGATACCAAGAACCTAGAGGAGGTATGATGAGCAGCTGCCAGAGCTTCCTTTTGAACTGATGAAGCTATTTTGGAACTAGGTACAGGTGGTGGTTATATGACACCATGAATAGTTAAATGGCCTGTTTAAATGTTAATATCTACTTATGTATTTTTTCTTCATTAAAACATAAGCCTTAAAGAAAAATCAAGACTGGATTCTTCTCATCTTATATCAGCTCTATTTTATAGTTTCAATTTTACTTATTTTTTACATTCATTTACTTCTTGTGTGTGCATATGTACGCACATGTGTATGCAAGTTCATGCCTGCACATGAATGAGCCCATGAGTGACAACACACTTGTGGAGGTCAGAGAACAACTTGCTGAAGTCCTTCTACCATGTGGTTTTGGCAAGGGAAGCCTGGTCATCAGATTTGGCAGCAAGCATCTTTACCCCCTGAACCATCTTGCCAGTCTACAGCTTCACATTTTAAAAGATAGCAACAAGATTATGACTCTCCTTTGGTGTGTACTACCTTGGAGTTTTATGATAGACCATGCTAACTAACAAGTTCTCTTATAGTTTTCACATTTGTGCAATTCAGATCTCAGTCCAAGGCTTCAGGAACATTGCGAACAGCTGCACGGGAATCATGCACCTGACCATCAATGATATGCCAACTCTGACGGACAACTGCGTAAAGGTAGGTAGAGGGAAAGGGCATTTCCTTGCTGTCCCTTTAGAGGAGCACACATTCTAATTGCCAGAGTTATTTCAAGATGTGAATTGGATTTTTTATTATAAGGAAATCATTTAAACATGTACATGTACGTATGTACATATGTGTTCGCAACTTTAAAAACATTTGAATGTTTAGACACTCTATGAAACCTGTTTTCACAGCTGGGGTATTTTTGTTTCAATGATGTCATAGTAAAGCATAGACTTTAAATTTAATTCTCCCAACCCACTACAACCCAGACCCAATACTGCTTAGCTTAAATTTGATTCTCCAAGTCAAGCTGCCAAGGAACTTTTCCAGCAATCTATTTCTGTGTGTTTTCCACATACACTTGTAATATGATTAAATTCTAATTTCCCTGCAGTATTCCCTGAGAATGTATTAAAATATATCAAAACAGTCCTATTTGCTTTAAAATTAGGGACATTTAATAGTGTGTATGTTTCTGGAGATATTAAGGGGAAGTGACATCAGTCCTTCGCTGTTTGTTCTATGTACTAGCAATTTTTCTTTGTTTCCTCTGAAGGTTTTGGTTGAGAAGTGCCCGCGGATTACATCGGTGATTTTCATTGGTTCACCACATATCTCTGATTGTGCTTTCAAAGCTCTTTCTACTTGTAACCTCAGAAAGATCCGATTTGAAGGTCTGTGGTAGTAAAAATGTGATTCAGTCTTATTTTTAACTTTTACTCTTCTGGCATTTAAGTATAGTACTTGTCTTTTTCTTTTTAAACTTTTTTTAAAAAAATTAAATTTTTTTATTTTATGTGTATGCGTGTATTGCCTGCACGTAGGTAAGTGCACCTGTGTTGTGCAATGCCCGCGGAAGTCAGAAGAGGCTGTCAGATCCCCTGGGACTGGAGTTACTGACAGTAAATTGTTAGCTACCATGTGGGTACTGCGATTTGAACCTGGTCTTCAGCAAGACCAACCAGTGTTCTTAACCACTGAGCTATCTCTCCAGCCCCAATACTTGTCTTTTTTCCTTTAAGCAGGAAATAAAAGGATTACTGACGCATGCTTCAAATATATAGATAAGAATTATCCAAGCATCAACCACATTTACATGTCGAACTGCAGGTCATTAACAGACAGTAGCCTCAAGTCACTTTCACCTTTGAAGCAGCTGATTGTGTTGAATTTGACGAACTGTATAAGGTAAGTAGTCATTCAGTGTGTGTGTTAATTCAGTATTCAGGAAATACTGATCATCTAGGATGTACTAGGCTCTCCTGTCAAAGCTAATGAGGGAACATGAAAGTCGGGGGTCTGAGTGTTACTGTGGAGTAAGTATAGATGTCTATGTTAACATGAGGGAGGAACGTCCAACTCAGACTGGCTTTGTGGAGGATATGAAGATTTGTGTGTTCTTGTGGGATTAAGTGAATTTATTGGTTACCTTTCACAGTAATCATTCCTTTAACTAGCTCAGTGAACTTCATTTCCCAAATGGACTTTCTAATTTGTTTATGAAGAACCAATCTTACTGCAAGTTTTCCTTTAGGAAAATAATGGGCAGATGGCAGGTTTTCACTGAAACTCTTAGCCGACAGTGGTGCTGGGCTATTATCTTGGCAGGGTGGGTCAAGGATAAAACCATCTCAGGTGGGCAAGGATGAAATTCTCACTGAAACCTCTTCTTTGGTTGATATCTGGGCTTCTTGACTGGGTAGATTTCTTACAATCTTACTAAGCCAGGTAATAACTAAAGAGCATTTGATCTAGAATGGAGTTGGCTAATATCTGGGAACATATAAGACAAATCAGAGTAATAATCTAAGCTGCAAAAATCTTGCATTCCCTACTGCTAACATAGGGAGCCACATGGGTCCACAGTGGATTGGAAGAGACATAAACTTTGGAATGGGAAAAGCCTGGATTAGAAAATGAGGCCTCCATGCAGTAGCCAGTGAAGAACTCATGCCTGTAGCCAACAGCTACATGAGGGAGTTTGGAAGCATATCCTCAAGCCTCAGTGTAGCCCCAGAAGACTGAAACCTCAGCTGGAGCATTAACCTTGAGCTCAGGAGAGATGCTGAGCTTCTTGAACCATTCAGATAGTACACATCCAATTTCCCAGATCTAGAAACCTGGAAATGTAGCAATCAATGTTTACCAATGAAGTCACAAAATTTGGACCAATTTTTTACATAGTGATTGATGATGCAAATATATGAAATACAGTTTCATTCTTCTATTTCACTCAGAATTCTGCAAATTAATTAATTTAAATTAAATATTAGATGGAAGCTTTCTCCTCAAAAGTATGATTGATAAGACACATTTAAAGGACTACCTACTACAGTTTGGATCCTTGAAGTTGATTTTTCAATACATTATGGAGGCCACCAAGGGAAGTAGTCTAGAGCCCCAAGTACATCCTCTCAGTGAGCAGACTCACTGAGCTGAGTCATGAATAGTAAGCAAACATAAAAGGTGGAACTTCTGTGAGCATAAATGTTCACATCAAAATTACCATCAAAAGAATCTGCTCTGAGCAAGGTTCAAAATAGGGAAACAGAACCAGAGGCTTCTACAGGGTCTGGATCTCCCCAGGTTGGACAAATGGTCTCAGATGGGCAGCCCCAGGTCCCTGGAAGAAGCCAGCACAGTGCTTCACCTTGACCAAGACATCAGGATGTATATGGATAGCTTTAGTGTCAACTCGACACACCTGGGTTGAGGGAGCCTCAATTGGGGAATTGCCTCTTTTGGACTGGCCTGTGGCTATATCTAAGGGGCATCTTCTTGATGAGTGATGTGGGAGGGCCCAGGCCACTGTGGGTTGTGTCACCCCTGGGCAGGTGGGCCTGTGTTACATAAGAAAGCAGGCCGAGCAGGGGCCAGGGGAGCAAGCCAGTAAGCAGCGTTCCTCCATGGCCTGTGCCACCAGGTTCCTGCCCTGAGTTCCTACCTTGGGCTCCCTGATGAACTGTGACCCAGGATATGTAAGCTGAATAAACCCTTTCCTCCCCAAGTTGGTAGTGGTCAGAATATTTTGTCACAGTAATGGAGAAACAAACTAGGACAGGATGAAATAAGAAAGTGACACAATTAAAAATCATCAAATTTTCAAAGATATGAATCACCATGAGAGTCACCAGACACGGCAAATAAGATTGATCCCCAGATAACTCAGAAATTATCTGACATAGTACATTAAGTTATTTTATATGAAGTTGTGGGGGGTTCAAGCCTGTGACCCCCTCACGAGGATGACTGGGGATGAGTAAGCGCGCCGTTGGCCAGCCCTTGCCACCCCCACCACTGGGAACAATCAGACACAACAGGGAGTCTAGTCAAGCAGGGACTCATTTATTGCAGGCGTTACAGAGCTTATAAAGGCATCTGGAAATCCCCCTCCCCTGAGGGTGTATCTTAAGGATGATCACGCGCTAATCATGCACTCCTCAGCAGTGCGAAAGTATCCTTCAAACTTTCAAAACAAGTCAGGCCAGCCCCAGTAACTTCCTCTCGGACCTCTGCAAGGCAGGGCCTTCAGGTCCCCACATGAAGTGTTTGAAAAAAATCAATAATAGAATTAGACATCTGAGAAGGCAACAAAATAAGATAATTAGATTTGAAAAGCTTAACTTTTATAAATGAAAATACAGGTATTGAAATGAAGAAACAGCACACAATAAGCTAGAGCCCACAGAGAAGTACAGTACCCAAAAAATGACAGCAGAAGAAAAGAGGATGCAAAATATGAATGTGTTCAACATAGTGTGGGAAGATGGACGTTTCATATTAGAGTTTCAGATTGATTTTGTTAAATTCATCTATTATAGATATGCCTAACAGAGAGGGAGGGAGAGAGAGAGAGAGAGAGAGAGAGAGAGAGAGAGAGA